TGGGAATATTATTGGGAAAATTTCCCAACAGGGTCAAACAAAGACTCTGAGTCAATACATTCTTTGATCTAACTAATGTTACTATAGATAATTTAGCTACCCTGAAGGTACTGAAGGTTAAATGATTTTTTTTCCCTCAGGGGAGTACTAATTAGTCGGCATCTATTGTCTGAGAAAATAGAGATTTTTATATCAAAGTCATATTCACATTACTAAAAAGAGCAACTTTCAGGCCAGAAATCAAATCTATAGAAAGAAAACTCTCTACTCCTGCTGTACAGGAAAACACAGGGACAGGACAAATTTCAGCCATCAAGACATTTTAGCTATCAAGAATCATGAAGTCATTGGAATCAATTATTTCTAATGCAGATAATGACAGATGGAGGAGGAGAGGCACACTAAGAGTGTATCCTCTAAAGGCAAATACTGGGAAGAAGAATAGTGGAAAAGCCCTTAGAAGTATGTCAAGTCTTCAGATGATGATGGTCATTCATATTTGGATTAGAGAGTATCTTAATTCACTGCTGACATTTTTCTAAAGAAAGTACAAGAAACATGGAGCTCTAGAGTTTTATTAGGCCTGACTTTCCGTCTGAAAAGGAAAGAAAAATTATAATTCAAATGGAAAAAAGAAGGACGGGATCAAGCACAAATAGATAAGTATTGATTAAATGTTATAGGAAAAAAGAAGAGGAAAACAAAGTAACAAATAAGTAATACTATCTGAAATAGGACTAAAGGATTTAAATTTAAGCCAAATCTTTTTTTTTTCAATAAGAAATCAAGAGATCTGGATATAAACAAGTTATGGATAATTTAACCTCCTTAATTAGAGTTGCTTTTTTTTTACTTCTGATTCAAATTTAATCTTTTTGTTCTTTTTTTATATTACTTACTGAATATTTTCTTACTTTCCCATAATAAGAGTTGATTTCCTGGTGACTATATGCTTTCTTCTAAACCAATAAAATAACTTTTTCTACCATTTGTAGCTCGTGAGTTGTTTTGTTTTGCTTTGTTTGTTTTTTGTTTTGTTTTGTTTTTTACTGGCCTGGAGATTATCAAATCAATTATTCAGAAGAAACCACCTTCTCTCTACCAGACTGTGGTACTGGATCAGAGCAATAGAATTCAAGTGTTAGTACACTGGACAGCTCTCATGCCAAGAAACCAGAGGACAAACACAGGACAAAAGGAAAAAAAACGTGAATTTGTAGTGTGAGGAATCTGGGTTAGCTGTTAGGGAGAACTTTGTCTGACCAAAGCAAAAGCTTGAACTACGTGGCTTAATATTTCTTCCGGTCTCTGGAATTCTACAACTCCAAATATGGTGATCATAATATCCTGTATTAACAGCAAAAAGCAGATGGCTATCACAGAGAAGAATGATGGAGATGTGTTTCTCTGCTGAATGCCAAGGCTTCCTTCAGGGAGGAAAAATGTAATATAGTCAATTATCAATTATCTCTGTGAGACGAGAGGAGCAAATATAAAGATGATCCAAAAATCATTCTTGTTTGGCTTTGGAATATATCTTTTAGAGCACACTTTCCATTTTAATTATTTCCTCCATCGGCTCCTATTAAAACTAGTATGTTCTCACACAATAATAAAAATTCTGAAGATTGGCAGAAGTTGACGTTTGGGTAGCGCTCTAATTTTGCAAAGGACCTTATAGACATTATCTCATTTGAGCATTACTATAACCCCACAAGGTAGATGTTGTGAGTTTTATTACTCCCATTTTAAAGATGAGAAATCTATTAATATGAGGAAGAAGATTAGAAGCATGCTAGCTGACAGAGAAAAGCCAACTTCAGATTAATATTTAAACACTATGCATAAGACCATAAAGTAGATGATCCATGTATGGAAAATCTACAACTCTATAAATAAAACAATTAAAAATCAAAACAATTAAACAAATGCAACTTATTGAACATTAACAAAATGAACAATAATAAAACAAATATTCACTAACTTTTCGCTGGGATCATAAAGATAATCTAAGTTCAACCTCCTTCCCCATTTTACAGTTGAGGAAACTGAGATCCAGAGGAGTTAGGTGTCTTGCCCACGGTCACTTCATTAACTAACTACTGGCAGCGCTGGAATTAGGACCCAAGTCTCTAGTGTTCATTCCAGTGCATCAAATTATCATTATTTGGATAAAGAATAGATTACAGTAGGAAGTATCTTTAAGAATCATGAGATTATCATGGGAAAGGAAATATAGCATATATTGCTGATTATCTTTTTAACTGTTCTACAATTAACTTAAGTAGTTATCATTATAAACAATACCAACATGAACTGAAAATTATTAAGAAGGCTAGAGGGAGGGATAATGGAAGTACAATAGAAAGAAACAGACTCAGAACAAGGAGAAACTTGGTCCAAGTCTCAGTGCTGAAATTTACTACCTGTGGAACTTGGGAGAGGTCCCTTTCCATCTCTGAGCCTTGGTTTCCTCACCTGTGTAACAGGGAAGATAATACTTGCATGTCCTCCCTTGAGAGGCAGCTTGACATAGTAGACAGAGGTCTGGACTTGAGGTCAGATGACTGGAGTTTAAGCCTGACACATACTCACCACGGGACCTACAGGATCTGGCAAGTCGCTTAACCTCCCAGTACATGCGGCAGCTCTAAGATTATTAGCCTCAGCATGGGTAGAAAAAGTTTGCACTCTGGGAATTCTCAACATTGATGAAATCATAAGACTATTATGAGGAAAGTGCTTTATGCCCTAAAGCACTACAGAAAGGCAGCTGAGATTTGTCCTCACCTCCCCAGGTTTGGGGTTTGTACCAAGACATGTTCCAGCCAATAGCCACTCTTACTTAACATCTTCATTTCAACAAAGGTGAAACAAGAGCATCTTAAGTCTTTTTCACACAAAACTTAAAGGGGAAAGTGTTCGCGTCAAGCTGAGATAACATGACAAAGATTAACAGGGTCAATACGGACAGGATGAAGCTATTCTGCCTATTTGTTCCATCAAAGCTTGCCCACACAGCAGGAAATCAGCAATCTAGACTCCATCCAAAAGGCATCATGAAGAGGACTCTATGGAATCAGAAGGATTAAATTTTTCAGTCCTGTCTAATTTGACTTCATTCCCATAGGTCCAGACACAAATAAGGAATGAAATAAAACTCTGCTCAGAAAAAAATGTCAGTAGTTGAGTGATTGATTAGGCAAGGGAAAGAGTGAAGGGAACTATATAACAGACTACTTTTTTTCCCTCTGAAAGGATGAAAATGACTGGCAAAGTTGCAAGTTGACAATTAGGTATTTAAGGACAAAATATAGAAAAGCAAGTGAGTAAGAATAAAATTCTGGATAGAACATCCATATGCAAAGAAACTAGTGCTAGAGCACTAAGATTCCAGAATGGGACATGCAGACCAGCAAGGCGTGGTGGACCAAGGAGTGGGCAGAGTCAGGAAAGCCTAACTTCAAGCACTGTTTCTGACACATACTAGCTGTGTGATCATAAGCAAGTCACTTTGCCTCTCTTAGCCCCAGGCAGCTAAGATGAGTAGCTGATCAACATCAGAGGAGAGCATTTCTACACCAGCAGGGCTCCACGTGGCTTAAATCATGCTGTAATTATTGCCTTGCTGTATAGAAAACAGCTGATCTGCTCATTCAAGAATGTAAGAAAAACAATCTTTGGGTGTCCAAAGTAAATTTCCTCCTTCCCATACAGGTCCAAATACCAATGGAGAATGGTCTAAATGCCTGGTGAGTCACATTTCAAAGAATCACAGGCATCAGAGTAGGAAATATCCAACAATGGCCATGTCGACACAAGAACGAAGTGGAGGATTGCACAGTTATCTGAGAAGGTCAGAAATCTTGGCTTAACTCATTTGTTTCATTCAGGCAAAAGAAATGCCCTCTACTCACAACTGTTAGTCATCTACTAACTGCTCCACAGCATCCCAGCTCTGCTTTGACTCACAGATCATTAGGCCACTAAGACAAGTCCCTGGGAACATAAAAACATAGAATCATAGACTTAAGCTAGTCATCAAGCTTCTTCTGGTTATCAAGTCTAATCCTTTCATTTTGCAAATGAAGAAAATGAGACACAGAGATGTCTTCTGAACATGGTTGCACAGTTGTAAAGTATCTAAAGCAAGAATGAAACCCAAGTCTTCCTGTCTTTAAGTCCAGCAACATACTGCTTCTGAAGGAGTGCAAGTGTTCAACCTTGACACCCCTTACATTCTGGGGCTGTGCGGAGAGAGACCCCCTTACCTTGCCCTAGCTGTTGCTCTGAAACATGAAACAGCAAAGAAGCCACTGACCCAAATGCAAAGAACTTTGAAGTGCACATAGAAGATTTTCATGCAGTCTATTAAGGAGAATTACACAAGATTTCATTTCTATCACTTTTTTGGAAAAACTATAAAAGCTAGAAGTGAAAGATTTCATAGGATTATAGATTTAGAACTAGAAGGAACCCTATAGGTCATCCAGTCCAACTCCCTTATTTTACAGATGAGGAAACTGACGCTCAGACAGCCTAAGATGCATTGACTGAGGTTATATAGATATTAAGTGTCAGAGCCAAGATTCAAACTCAGGTCTTCTTAACTCTAAATCTTGCACACGTTCCACTATGTCCACTCTATCATGGCAGGCTTTTACTTTTTTCTTTTTACTCTGTTAATCTCTGCAGGCTACCACTTGTTTCCTCCCTCCCCCTGCTCAAGGGGATGATATTTAATCACCTTGGAGTATCTCTTCCTTCTTTGCATCTGGCAGTCACCACACACAGAGGTGTCCAGGAACACTCCTGTTGCTTCCAAATGGTTAATGCAGTTACCGAACAGCCTTTCCAAATGCACTGTCCCCAGTGCAGTGACCACAGGCCTCAAGGGACACATGTCCTCTTTCATCCATCTACCCTGAGTGAATCAACTTCATTATCTGTAACTAAATACATGAAGAAGACCAGTTGCAGTCTAAATAAGCGGCACTTACTTATGTCCATTTAAAGCTGCATGGTGCAAAGCAGTGTAACCCGAACTGTCTGTGCAGTTCACATTGGGGCCTCGCCAGATGCTGCGAATAAAGCAGAGGTGCAGAGTTAGCCAGTGAGCAGGACAATCTGTGTGCGCATGGACAGCATCAGAAATCAACAACCAAAAAGGAGCCGGGGTCCCCAAGAGCCAGCAGCGCAATGCATATGGAAATGCCAGCTGTGCAGAAGACGATGACACATATTTCAAATAGCTCATCTTGAAGGAACACTCGATTTCATCCACTGGTAGGGGATTTCTTAGGAAAACTCTTGAGGTGACTAGAACTGAGTGCAGTGTGGGACTTAATTTATTGATTTATTACTAATTCGTAAATGCTTGTTGACTAGAGAAGATATAAACATCGTGCATCATAGGAACTTGTAGGATTTGTATCACAATAATCTATGTAAAGAGCTTTGCAAACCTTCAAGTGCCACATAAAAGTGAGCAATTTCTTTAACCTTTAGGAAGTATTTAGTATCCTGCTACTTCATTCAGTGCAACAACATTAGAATGACTGCTTCCCTTTTCAGTTCACCAGACTAGAACGCAGTAACATATACATAGGTCATACAGTAACACAGAGAGATCACAAAAATCTAGCATATTTTGAGGTTCCAATGCCACTGAGGATTCCCAGTTACATTTTATACTAGACATAGCATAGTGCACAGACCCACAGCCTGTGCACACCAGGGGAAGACTCCAACAATGTTCTAAATAATACTATCTGTGGTCCTCATAGAATCACAGAATTCAGATTAGGAAAGGACCTCAGCAGCCATCTTGTTCAACCTATAACCAAAAGAGAATCTCCCCTACAAGGTATTTTGTTATCAATCATCTCACCTTTGCTTTAAGACCTCCAACTAGAGGGGAGAAACCCAGTGCTGACTAAGATAACCCAGAACCCCACATCACTTCAACTGGCATTCCCATTATCCCCCTTCCCAATAGTCATCATTCAACTCTAAAAGCTCGCTCCATAATTACCAAGGCTTATCTTTTCCACAGTGATCTCATAATTGGCTAATATGAACCTTCAGGCTTCATCATTCTCAAATTATCTGTCACATTTGATACTGTTGACCACTGTCTCCTCCCAGATACTCTAATCAATTACAGTGGCTTCATAGTGCTTATATGATCTAATATAAATATCAATGTTTAGCTTTCAATTTCCTGCATAACCTGACCTCAACAAATCTTTCTAGCCTGATTGTTCATTAGTTTTCCATTCATACTCTGTGGCCCAGTCATATTGGTCTTCTATCGATAACTTGTACACAGTGCCCCACGTCCTCTCCCTGTGCCCTTGCACTGGCTGTCCACCATATTTGGAATGTACTCCCTCCTCATCTCTACCTCAGAGTCCCTCTCTTCCTTTAAGAAGCAGCTCAAGCACCCTCTTCCTCATGAAGCCATTCCTGATCCCCCCAAGTACCAGTACTCTTTCTCCCTAACTTACATTTAATTACTTTGTACAGATTTCTCTTGATTCACTTTATACTTATGCTCTATGTATTTATATATATAAATATGCTTGTTTATATTGTTATGTTTTATATATATATATATATATATATATATATATATACTTATTTTCTGTCCCACTAAAATATAAACTCCTTGTTATCAGGGATTGTCTCATTTTTTGAGTTTGTATTATAAGATCGCAGCTTAGTTATTAAGAATATAGGAGGTACTTAAGAAATGCTTGTAGACCGGTTGGCTATGTGCCCTGCCAGTACTTCCCACCACCCAGAAGTTTAGGCTCTGCCCTGTTGCTTTGTGCACTGAACCCTAAGGGCCAACTAGATTTTCCATCTGCCATGAAGCCAAACATTTTTATGTGCTGCCTACACTAATTAAAATGGAAGTTCCTTCAGAGGAGTTAACTTGGTTTTCTATTTGCACCTCCAGCACTTAGCACAGCACTTGGTACATATTAATTACTTAATAAATGTTTTTCCATTACATTTTTATAGCTCCAATTGTTAAGAAGTTTTTCCTTATGTAACTCACCTTCGTGCTCCACATTCCCATTACACTCACATCAAGCCCAATTTGCATCTTTGCAGCTTTCACTCATTGTACCCATTAGATGATTGTCTATATTTTAATAGTATGTTTTTATACAGAGACATTCATGACAATTGTCTGAGTTCTGCCCTCTGGTAACATACAGGACAAAACTAATCCCTCTTCTGTATGACAGCCTTTAAGGCACTTAAAGAGAATCATGATGCCCCATGAGTCTTCTCTTACCCAGCCAAAACAATCCTAATTCTCTTTATTTCCTATAGGGCTCGCGTAACCACATGAATACATTTATCTTTAGACTCTGCAATTAGAGGAACCAATTTCAGCTTCCAGAAAGTTAAAGGAAAAAAATGTTTTACCATAATAATCCAATACAAATATTTATAAAATGCTTACTATATGCAAGATATTGTTCCAGGCACGGGTGATACAAAGGTAAAATTAAAAGTCACTGCCCTCATGGAGCTTACATTCTACAGGTAAAGTAGACATAAGCTGAAATTGACAAAGTAAACATTTGTCTACTTATTTCATTTCACTAGATGGGAAAAAGCAGGCAAGGCGCATGTCTACACAGAGGTTAATAAAATCATTAATCACTTGGTAGATTATGGAAGCAGCATGGAGAGTTCACACACACACACACACACACACACACACACACACACACACATGACTTGGACCAAAGTCAGAGGGTCATATCCTGTTTCTATCCCAAACTAACTGGGCAAACTTGGGCGATAATACACTCCATCTTCAAGAGCCTCAGATTCCTCATTTATAAAATAAGAAGTTGGACTCAAAAATAAATTACACATGTAGACTTCTGATCTATGTTAATTTCTATCTTTAATCTAGTGGGATGTCCTACTTAAGTGATAATTTCCATCCTTTCCAGAACCCTGATACACAAAATGTCACATTAGAAAATGTGATAAATTAATTATGCATTCATCTTTTGTTGTTAAGAGTAACTGGTTTTGCAATGTATTTAATTCCCAACTTTTTGGTAACAATAGCCCACACATTTACAATGCTTTGAGATTTTAAAAGTCCCTCACAAGCCACACCTAATAAGTGTATGGGGCAGAATTTGAATCCAGGTCTTCCAGACTCCAAGTACAGCACTCTAGCCATTAAACTACCCTGCCTCTTGGCAGTAGACGCCCATGGCATGGAGTAGCATAATAATATGAACCAAGTAAGACATTTAGCACCTCCTAACTTTACTGAACAGTAGCTTGATTTCCCCCCCATGTCATTATTAGCAACCAATCACACCAAGTGCTTATTAGTAAACTTGTCCCTTTTGAAGTTTTTAGCACATCCCCAAAACAGCTTCTTATGCCTATAGTGCATTTTCTCAGATCTATCTGAGAAAAAAGCCAGTGATGCAGTTTGGAATCCCATGAGGATTACGCCTAAAGACCTCCTTTCCTCTGTTCCTTCTGCTCCTTCCCTTCCCTTCTCTCCGCTTTTACAAAAACTTAACTTACCTAACTCACAGAGGGAGAAGAACCACTGAAGGCCAGAGGTGTTGGGGAAGCTCAAGCTGACAAAGAATGAACAAAGTTCTCAGGGAGTCTTTGTATCACATTACATTGGTCAAATACTTGAGAGGAGTGCAAGGGATGGTCTATAGTAGAATGCCACTGAAGGGAAGGAGAAGGAGAGAGGTATATAGACATCAGTCTGATAAGCATGGAGAATGGGAAGAAGAGATCTGACCTTTACCTACTCGGTATCACCCCTCCATATTGCTCTCCAAGCTAGAGATTCGAGTCAGACTTATTAGGCAGAGTACTGGGAATCAGGAAGACCTGAGTTGAAATCCTGCCTCAGATATTTACTAACAATGTGACCCTTGGCAAATCACTTAACTTCTCAGCCTGTTTCTGCATCTGTAAAATGAGGATAGTAACTGCACCTGCCTCATAGGACTGTTCTGAGGATCAAATGAGAAAACACATCAAGTGCTCCACAAATATTAAAGTGTATGTGTGATAACTATCATCATGCCCTCAGCTTTCAATGGACCTTTTAGCTTTATTTGGTTTAAATTGCCATCCTCCATAGAAAACATCCATTCTTCCTTAAAAAACCAATTATCAAAAAATTTCAATTATATGAAATTGAAAACTTTTGCTTGAGCAAAATCAATGTGGTTAGATTAAGGATGAAAGCTCTGAACTTGGAAAAAACTTTGCATCAAATATTTTTATACGGTCTGATATCCAAGATATAAAGAAACTAATACAAATACATAAGGCCAAGGGTCACTCTCCAAAGGATAAGCAGTTAAATGATATTAATAAACAATTGTGAAAATAAGAATTGCAAACCATAAACAATTATATTAGAAACTGCTCTAAATCACTAATAAGGAATGTAAAGATACCAAGTCAAAACAAATCTAAAGTTTTACCTCATTATCAGCAAGTTGGAAAAGATGACAAAGGGCAAATGTACTCAATTTTGAAGAGGCTACCCAAAGACAGGCACACGAATATATTGGTGGTGATGTGAATTGATCCAACCATTCTGGGCAACAGTTTGGAAATAATCTCTTCCCTCCAAAGTGATGAAAATGACCATACCCTTTGACCCACACATCCCACTACTAAGGATATTAATTTCCAAATGAAGAAAAAAGACCAAAAGTTCAACATACATCAAAATATTTGTAACAGTGCTTTTTATGACAGGAAAAAATTGGAAATAATGTTTCACTTAGGAAATGGCTGAATAATAACAACAACAAAATCACAGTATGCAAATATGATGCTACATCAGTAGACTTAAGAAATAACAAATGTGAAAAATACAGAGAAGCATGGGAAGACTTACATTAGCTGTGTAATGTGAAGTGAAAAGACCCAGGAAAATGATATACACAACAATCATGTAAGCAAAAAACAAAAACAAAAAAAACAAGGAAACAGAACAATAGAACTAAACAATAGTAATTATAAGGAACAAGATTGACCATGAAGAAGA